TGAAGTGGCTTATGTGCCTTACTGAATAATGGAACGTAATCTCCTGTCAATCATTCTTACAGTGGCCTTAAAACATCTAGTGCATGGTTCATGTACCCGAGCCCACCTGGACTCAACAACATTGTGTCAGTATCTAAATATGAATATAATGAGAAATAAAGTAGAAAACACCAAACACCTGTTTACTGGTTTTTATTGAGTTTTATATATTTTACCCCCAGCTGCCTCCAAAAAAACCAGTTATTACTAGGCCCAAATAAACCAGTTTAAGTATAAAAGTATGAAAAATACACAATTCCAGTTAGAGCTGTGCATGGTGGGATGCTAAGAGGTTGAAGGTGGATATGGTTTCCTGTACTTGCTCTGCATCCACACCCGGCGCATTACTACTTTCTTTCCTCGGTTCACTTGCAGTCGTCTATCCTCTAGATTCTGTATTTTTTCTAGTCCAGCTTTGGAAAACAAATCATGAACCTCCTCTGTAAAACATAAAACACAACAGTCAGGAACCAAAATTTTAGTCCAGGTTCTCTTTCTGCCAAGAAAGCCATGACAACAGAAAACACGGTTTTGTGTGCATTACCGTGAAGCTGTTTTTTTATACATTATTTTCCTTTTTACGAATTTTGGAATTGAGTTTTATCTGAGATAATGCATATATTTAACCATTCACCAATAAATGTAAATTCCATCTTTGTAAACACCACAAACTTGTATCATAGCACTGATCAGAATAGGGGTGTCAACACCCACACACCATAAGTAGAAATACCTTTTGTGAAAAAATAAACACAGGTTCCATCTCCGCGTGTGTAGAAATTTTCGGATAGACACCGTCCTGGATGTTAGAGATGAAATGACAAAGAATTTGTTTAAAAAGGAGAATCTCACACACAGACAAAGATGTATTAAGAATATATAAGAAATTAGGGTAAAATGATACCACGGGTATATCTGGAGGCTTACCTTTCTTAAAACGGAGTTGTGAGAAGTCGTATCTCCCATAATCACGGAAAAGGAGTACACCACCATGTTTCAGGTATGCAGACAGATGGTTCACAACGTCTTGCAAGCTGTCAATAAAATTTAGTTATTGGATAAATTATGTTATAATGCAGCAGGCTTGCAGCTAAGGTGATCCTTGCAGCCATCGGTAAAATATAGACCAAGGAGAAATGCATTCACTGAGATATAACTGACTTCAGTCAGCAGTGCATTTGTATTAGCTTAACCCAAGTATATTACATATGTTTCCCAAATTCATCTATACTTTTAGTGTCAAGCAAACCACCGAATATTCAATATCTTGCACTTAACTGTATGGTTTAATATTTCCATTTCAAACTGGGGTTTGTAATGATATTCAGACAAAGGCTGGGCAATGGGATGGTTATGAAGGTTGTGGAGGGGGAGGGGCTGGCTGGCAGGTGATAAATGACATTAGGGTCTCCCATCTCTGTACTCTAAACCTCACCTACCGCTCTGGATGAATGGAAGAGAGCACAAATACTGCCAGAATAACATCCAGGCTCTGAGGAGGAAATGGGAAGGTGGCCATTTTGTCACAAATGTCATGGACGAAGGCGTGACACACCGAGTCATCATAGTCTGGGTGGTTCTACACAAGGAAAATAAGTTAGATTATATCTATTAAGCATGTCATTATCACATTGGTGTTGCAGCTCATGTACAGTTCTGAGACATTTTCTCATGAACCTTCCTATCGCCTTGAAGCAGTCTGGTCATTCTTGTCTGACAGCATCAAGAAGACATTTTCACCCAAATAACTGCCACTCAGTGGATGTTTTCTCCTTTTCAGACCACTCTATGTAAACCCTAAAAATGATCCGTCCATTCATCCATCCTTCCTCTTATCCAATTCAGGAAAGCCTGGAGCCTATCCTAGCTACTCTAAAGATGGTTGTGTGGGAAAGTCCCAGTGGCTCAGTTAACAAGCAGTTAAATAGGTGTACCTTACAAATTGGCTAGCGAGTGTATATGAATGCCATCTTTTTTACATTACTAACATTAGTTTCTATGTGTAAGATTTATTTAATGTGGAGATATGTAACAGTGATGTTTTTTTCTTCTGCTACATTTCTGCACATGATGTCATATTTATCTTTTCTGTGTCTCTCTAGGTAGAAATTTATGATAAAGACATATTTTATTTATAGATAAAAATCAGCTGCTGAAATTAAATTATTTCCCAAAACATTTAAGGGATGGCAATATTTTGTAGATGACTAAATTATTATTATAATACAGTATACACTTTATATTTTCATTCGAAACAGATGCTAACCTTAACCAGCTGAATGGCACGTGGCGAGAAGTCACAACAGTATAAAAATGAGTCTGTTTCTCTGTGGAAGAAAACAAACAGTTTAACAACTGTGAATCATCACATTACAACCACAAGTACTTGTAAAACACTAACAAAGTGATTTTGTAGCTCAACACATGTTTTTTACAAGTGCCTTAATTGTTTTGTTTTGTTTTTCTCCAAAGGACATAGATCAGGATAAACTAAAGAGAAAATAGAAGAACGGCAGAAACTTTTTTTCTAATGTAGGTAAAAACACAACAACTTCACAGATAAATTTCCACTGTGTTCTATGTGTATGCTCTGCTCTCAGTCAACAACAGAGATGATAATAGAGACAATTAAATACTAAACATCTGTATGATCATTCATTAAAGAGAAACATTTTGACTTACTTGATGTTATTTACAATAGGAAACACACTGTTACCAACTCCACATCCGACCTGTGAAGAGAAGAAAATGCAAAGCAGTTATTTAACATTATCTGTGTTACAATAATATAACATGCACATCCTATATAAAAAATAAAACAAAAACAGAGTATATTAACACTTTAAAAAACCTCCAGGATCCTGAAGGATGCCCGTTGTCCAGGAAAAACAGAATCATCCACAGCAGCTTCATTCGTTCCTTGTGCAGCTTGTTGACAGGACTCCTGAAAGTTAAAGGTGTCTGTATTCCTGTGATGGTCAATGGGATTGCACCGTTGATGTTTTCCGGTTTCGGTGTCCAATTTGGATGCACTACATAGTTGAATGGCTGCTTGCTGATGACCGTGACACATGTTTGTGCTCTGGCCTCTTTCACCTGAAGGCAGCAGCTCTGGGAATTCTAAAAACAGCCACCTGCGATCTTTGAAGAACTTGTCCTGGTGAATCTCATAAAACATGTCCCAGTACTGGCAAGCTGCTGTAACAAATTTACCTGCAAGGACAGAATTCAAGAACTTTTTTTTTTTATCATTTTTGTTTCCATGTAATTCCCAAAAATCAAATTAAATGTGTTAAAATATTTTGTTCTTGCCTTGTTCGTTTAAAGGAAGTCGTACAGTGGAATTTTCCTCCGCCTTCTGCCGTGCATTTTCCTTGTCCTCCTCTGTCCATTGCACATGATCCCTAACATGAAAAACATTACTAAAGCAACTCCTGAATGTTAATATATCAATTTAACTATAATGACTCACAATTTAATTTGTTATAATTAGCTTTAATGTCATGAAATCCTGTGACCTATATTTTAGATTGTATATTATTATATATTATAGTATATTATTAGTATACTGGTGGTGGTCAGAGGGCCCGGTGGCGCCAGTCTCCGGCAGCCTCGCCTCTGTCAGTGCGCCCCAGGGCAGCTGTGGCTACAATGTTGTTTGCCATCACCAGTGTGTGAATGTGTGTATGAATGGGTGAATGACTGAATGTAGTGTGAAGCGCTTTGGGGTCCTTAGGGACTAAGTAAAGCGCTATACAAATGCAAGCCATTTACCATTATATATAACACATATACAATATACAAGCTACATGGTGTCTTCTTATTATGTGGCATAATAAACGCAACTTTTACACATATTCATTAAAGTCGCATCACTTACCACATGTTGTGCTTGAAGATGTCATCAGGACTGGTCAGAATCCGTGAACCCAGTGGAGCTGAAGGTCTACTGTCACTGCTCTTTAACCTCATAGAGAATCTGATGAAAACTGCAGCCACTTTGGCTACAGAGAACCTCTTCACTTTATTCATTTACTCTGTAAAAGTGCACATAGGTTTAAATACATACAACAATCCCTGGTCAGTACATCGCTGCCTAAAAAGACTAGTGGAAGCAATATCTATGTCATGCAGGGGAGGGATACTGGCATCGAAGGACGCTGAAGATGGAGCTGACACAAAGGAAGACCACAAAGAAGACTGATAAATGTAGTGAAGGAGGAAAGGCACAGGGTTCCTGTTACAGAAGAGAATACTAAGGATAGGGTGAGATGGAGACAAATGAGCTGCTGTGGTGACCCCTAAAGACACCATCCAAATGTCTATTTAATGTTAATACATACATGTAAATAAAATAACAGAATACGATAAACTCTTCTTTTGCCCTGGAAGTTGGGAAATGTCCTGAAAATAAAAAATGCATGCATTTTGTTTTTAAAAAAAAAATCAAAAAGCTAACTAAACTACAATGAGCTCAAAGTAGTAGAATAGTAAAATAAAACAAAAGTCAAGAATACATAAACATTTAAATACAACGCAACAAAATCCTTAAAAAAGAACCTAGTATAATACGTTAGCGTGACTCTTTAAAGTACATTAGCTCAAATTTAATACAGAAAAACAAAACAGAAATAAAATAAATAAATGATTAAATACACATACACACAGACAAATATGTTTAGCTAACACCGCTCAAATGCTCAAAAAAGATATATAGTTTGAATAATAATTCCTAAAATATAAAATCGGACTTTTACTGCAAATAAAAACGGAAACTAAAGGATGCAGCTGATTTTTAAGTGTATCTCTGGTCAGGGTACGTGCAGACGAATGGGTGCGCTACAGCAGGACAGCGAGCGCGCTATTGTGCCGTAGAAGAAGACGCGTGTGAAAACATGGAGAGGCATGGGGCTAACTAACAACACAACCCCAGTCGACAGGCGAAAGCAATGCTCGCCAACTTAACCCTAACAATTATATTTAACCCTCCATGCAACCTCCGAGCAGTTCCTCTGGGTCATATAGCAGACAAAACTTTTGGACGAAGTTGGCGACATGTCGAGGTTCTTTAGCTCACGCTAACCTAAGCTAGCTGTTAACTTTTCATGTTAGTCATTGGACGTGTGAGGTCGCGACGGCGTTGAAAACATGAAGCATAGAAAACAGCTGTAGCGTGCTGGACTACAAAACTGTACGGTGCTTACCTCGCTCTGGGTGGGCTGTTGTGGTCACTTCAGTCAGCATCTAGTCATGCTGCTAGCAGCCCCCAGTAGGAAAACGTACCACCTGCAGATGGCGCCACAGCAGAGAAAGGGGAGCGCTAACGCGGCTGAACTGCTGAGCCGGAGGAGCACAGGTCTTGGGAATACTGGGACTTTAATCAGACATAATTTGAAGATCCTGAGAGGTATTCTCCTTCAGGTAATGTTACAGTTTGTAGTGTTAATGCTTTCAGTTGGTGTTTTACCATATTAATTATTGTTGCCATATTGTAGGAAAACCGGACTTTCACGAAAGTATGGAGCAAGACCTCAAAATCCACAGTAATGTACGAAAATTGCAAACTATACTTTGAAAACTACCAGCACTGCTACAGCTGGTGAGTATGGGGTCCTAACTTTAATTAGCTTCAGTTTTTAAACACGTATACATGCCAAAATATACACAGGACTATTTTGGTACGTTAAAGTAATCCTCCACTGGTCATATACACTATTAAAAATGAGTTGTTAAAAATCTACCTATACAAAATATAATTTTTTAAATATGAAGTGTTCATATTACACTGGCCTGTAATATAAATTTATTTGGCACACACTTAAGAGATATAGCCAGAGCCAAATGAAAATCATCACCTCTTTAATCATTTATGTAATGGATATATAATGTTTTAAAGCTTTTACTTGAGTGTATTAAATATTATTGTCTGTAGTGAGAGTAGGGATCAGGTGAAAGAGAGCCTGGAAAGGTTGAAGTATGCTCTGGAGAGAAGAGGAATGCAAATCAGAATAGATGCGTGTGAATGAAAGGGAGATGGGTGTAACAGCGTAGCAAGTTGATGAGTTGTTAAAAAAAATGCGGAAAACCATTCAAAGCAGTGGAAGATATTGAATATTTTTGTCTTATCTTATCTGGCAGGGAAAAGTATAGATGTCTGATGAATAATGTGAAAACAGGTGGGCCATGATATGGCCATGATATTTAATGTAAATGTGTACAATTAAAATAAAACCCATTGTGTCATTTTAACTTCGTTAAAAATTGTTGCTTTTGCGAAACAGTGATGTGGGATACAGAGGAGCAGATGATCTAAGGAGCTTTAAATGAAGTAGGAAAGTGTTGTGTATGCCCAATAACACTGACAAGCTGCTTATGTTTTATATTTTGTATATGTGTTTCAGTGTTCATGTTGAGCCTCAGATTTTGTACAAACTGCCAACGAGGTCCAAACAGGAGAAAATTGAAGATGCGTTGATGTGTCACAGCCCAGTTGTAAGTAAACATTAATAAACTGGGTGTTGCTCAGATAGAAAATTTCAGACTGTTGTGTTACCTCTTTTTTTTGTTCTCATCCAAAGGAAAAATCCTTATCTTCTCCATCTGATCATAAACCAAGCCTCTTGGCTTTGACGGCCAATAACTGGCTAATTCGCCTTTCAGCTGAAACAGGAGAAGAACTGCAGAGAGTTTACCTCTCTCCAAACTATAAGTTCAGGTATCTCTAAGGTTCTGATTTCAGTGTCCTTTGAGTGGAATGTATTTTTAGATTTGGTTCATTTTAAAGCCTTTTTAGCTTTATAGCTTGTTGTTATCTTGTAGATATCTTGGCTGGGATGTTTC